GTTTTCCAAAAATGGTAACAAAGTGCATGTCCAGTTTGTCCACTGCTTTGAAAGCCTACACTCGAGAGGCAGTTGTTATAAAGGAAAGTGGTTTGTTATAGGTACCAGGAACCTGGAAGATGAGAGACTCCCATCTTTTTTTAAAGCTTTTATTTATTTACCTTTAGAGAGGAAGGGAAGGAGAGAGGGAGAGAAATATCAATGTATGGTTGCCTCTCGTGTGTCCCCTGCTGGGAACTGGCCTGCAACCCAGGCATGTGCTCTGACTGGAAATCAAACCACAATCCTTTGGTTCACAGGCCTGCGCTCAATCCACTGAGCTACAATAGCCAGGGCAGGGACTCCCATCTTAACCCCCATCTGAAAATCCCACTGCAGGAAGAATGGTTGGAGAAAAGAGAACAAAAAGGTCAACGAGAGATGATGTGGGTGTGTGGGCATTGTCCTTACTCATCCTGCTATTGATCTTTAATTTCAGCATTATGGAGGTGGACATGGTCAGTGCCAGCCAAATTGCTGCACCTGGGAGGCCATTTCCTATACAGCAGGCTGGAATTGCTGGTGCTTGTAATACACACACACACACACACACACACACACACACACACACACACACACAGAAAAAAAACTGCCTCTCAGTACGTGAGGTATTTTTGTCATTTGTTCAGTACATCTCATTGTTATTCCATTTTATGCTATGTCAGAGTAGTATAAAGGTTTTATTCCCTGCCACACTGGCACCTTGACTGTGAACATCCATTCTCCAGGACTGTCGGACAAAAATGTTTGCTGTTTATCAGCTTCTCCATCCGTGGTACACTATTACTATAGCCAGAACAGTCTCACATTTGGGCATCTGTTTGTATTTTCCAGATTCTAGAACTGCATTCATTGTCCTGTGACCTCTTCCTGCATCTCCACAGACTGGAACAGTTCACCTGACATCAGCCTTCACATCACTTCCTTCTTCTCTAGGATTCTAATTTCACTCTGCCTCCTTCTAAAATAAACACTTATCAGATTAGGATCCACCCAGATTGCCCTGGGAAATCTTTTGGGCCCCAGGATCTCTAAATTAATCAAACATTATGAAGTTTCGTTACTGTGTAGAATTCACAGGTACCAAGCACAGTTCAGACAACCACAGCCAAAATTCTTAAATGCTTGTCATCACTGCCTTTGCAGAGAGACCCTCTACCAGTGACCTCATCTTGTTGGGAACACACAGCCACCCCATCAGCTCCATGAATGTGTAGTTTCTCAGTGTCTCTGAGTCCAGTAATAAAAATACATTTTCTCACCACTCTGTCTGTTCTGTGTTCTTAAATGTCTAGAAACTTGGGGCCAAGGGCACCAAGATCAACATGTATGACTTCTTGCCTACAAGTTGCAGCCTGTGATCTCTGTCCCAGGTGTGCACTTGCCCCCATCCCTGGAGTGTAGACAAAACTAGATACAGACACACATCCATGCTCCATTAGAGCAAAGAGACCCTACAACCCCATGGGGCATGTTCCACTCTTCCCTGGGTTGCTTTCAGGGGAGCAGTAGTACCAGTGGAGAGGGTACAGGCCCAGACTCCAGGCTCACTGTTACTAGATGTTGTGTCCTGAACATGCCCAATGCCTGCTCAGGATTCTGTGCTCAGTTATTGAAATGCTATCATGACCACCTTCCCTAGAACACTCACCTGCACAGAGGCACAGAATTCTCTGCAGGTCTCCAACCCCAGAGCTCCCTGAATCATGGGTGCCCAACATCTCTCCTCCCTGTCTGTGGGTGCTACTTGCATTACTGCTTGAGTTCTGTCTCCTGTCTCCCTCCCAACACATGGAAAAAGTGATCTTTCATGAAACTGGTCCCTTGAGCCAAAAATTGTGGTGACTGATTTCCTATACAATAGAAAGAAATGAAAATAGCGACCTGTGGGTGAACTCTAACCGAAAGAGCTCTCCTGGCCGATGCGGATGAGAATAAGTCTACCAAGACATGACCTGCTTGGGGAGAAAAGGCTGGCAAATCTCTTGGAGGAGAATGTCCTCCAGCACCTCTTTCCTGGGCTTTTATTGCTTTCAGTTTGCACAGGAATACAGGGCATATACAAAAAGCTCATCAATCATTGTCAGGCAGTAATGATAAAGGAGTAAATGATATTCAAAGAACTAGAAGGGCTTATTCTGTCTGTCTGGGTCAGACAGACAGAGTGACACCAAAGGGTCACAAAACTTTGGGAAAGATACTCATTTTATGCTTGAGGCCTAAACAGCTAACACATATCAACCTGAGGGTATTCTTAGCAAAGCAGGACTCACAGGAATTCATGCATTCTTTTTCAGACTGATTGTCCCTGGAAGCCACCCATAATAGTATAGGGCTGTGCCTCCTTTATCTGGCATTTATTCAGGCTTGAGTCAAGCCAGGAAAAGAAAGTAGCTGAGACAGTAGGAGACTTCCAGTAGTGGAATGAGGACTCAGGCCAGAATAACAAAGCCAAGGGATGAATGTCCATCACCCCTTTTTTATAGTCCCCTAAGTTCTTCCCTGATGGTTCCTTCATGACTGTGCCTATCTTAGGTTCTTGCTCCCTTGAGGAATCTTAACCACTATTGGCTAAGCAGTCATCCATCTGCAACAAGCAGGAAGATTTAATAGAGGGCATACGTTTTTGTCTCCTTAGTGGCTTAAATCCCTAAGGCCTTTTTTACACAGCTTTAGCCATGGGGGATTACAGCTTCTGAAACCAGGCAGGGAAGTTCCCCATGGGGACCCTCTGCTCATTGAAAGTATCTTAGCTCCAACCCTGTAGCTCTGGGACTGTAGCCTACCCCAAGATTTCCAGCTATTGTCAGTCCCTGGTCAGGACAGAACACAGACTCACCATGGAGTTTGAGCTTAGGTGAGTTTTCCTTGTTGCTGGTTTAAGATGTAATTTACAGAGTACAATAGACACTGAGTATGTGAGCAGATATGGCTGAGAGGAACAACAGACGGGTGCCAGTTTTCTGATGTGATGTCTGTGTTTGCAGGTGTCCAGCGTGAGGTGCACCTGGTGGAGTCTAGTGGAGGTTTCATGCATCCTGGGGTGGGTCTTGACACTCATGTGTGGACTCTGGATTCACCTTCAGTAGCTCCCATAAGCACTGGGTCCACCATGTTCCAGGGAAGGTGCTGGAGTGGGTTTGTAGAATGAATATTGATGGAAATATCACATGCTATGCCAATGCTGTGAACAGCTGATTCATCATCTCCAGAGAAAAAGGCAGGAACATACTGATCCTGCAAATGATCATCCTGAGAACCAAGGACACTGACAGGTAGTACTGTGAGAGAGTCTCTGTTACAGAGAGTCAGTGTGAGCTCAGACACTAATCTTGCTGAAGGACACATGAGGGCAGAGCTGCAGGATGTACTCAGGACACCAGGGGGGTTTGGGAACCCAGAGCACAGAGACTAGCTCTGTGCCCACAGGGGCATGCCCACAGGGGCATGAGAGGGCCTGGTGGGGGGAGCAGGGATTTTATTTCAAAACTCTCAGCTGAATCCAGAGACATTTGTTCTTTCTATGTGGCTCTGATATGTCTGTGTGGCTCTCAGTGCAGACAACAAAGTAAGAAGTGATATTGTATGTTTGCAAATGAGATTATACACCATGCTTGGGGACCTTTCTTTCACCACATTCCTGGTTGTTCTTTTTCTCCCTTGACAATGAACAACCTAAGAGCTCTTGTCTTCCCCGTGGTTGGAAATGTTTCCTACAAAGAAGGATCCAGCTCTGCCCCGACCCCTGTGTACTGAGCTCAGGCTTCATCTTCCAACATGCACACAATGTCCTCACACATCTCCTTCCTTCTGACAGTTACAGTTGGGTTGCCCCTCTGGGACTGTGAGCATTCCACAGGACCTCCACCCCTCAGGTCTCTGTCCTCTCTACCACATGCCACTGTCTTGCTGTGCATTGATTCCCTATTACCCCACATGATTAGTCATAGGTGAAAAGGCTAAATTATGTGTCCCAACTTCACCCCCTAATGTTCCCTGAATGTGTCTGTACATCGTGGACTCCCCTAGTCCTTACATTTGTGGGAATTTTTAGCTTTGAAATTCCATAGGATGTCCCTGTGTTGAATGGAGGGCATATGTAATTTTAAATGTTAATGAAACATTTATTTTTAACTAATTTTACATCATATTGTAAAATACAATTTTGTTGGAAATTCTTTACATACTGAGGGAGACTGGTTCACCAGTCCTCCAGGCCTGTTTTGAAGATGGTGTCTGGCACTCACCTGGCTCATCCTGTACATGCTCTGCCCTTTTCTGAAAGGTGTAGGTGAGAAATAGGGGCATGACCAGGTATGGGCTCCCTTGGAGGGACTGACAGACACACTGCTTCCTTTGGGGCTGAATGTTACCAAAAGATTATAGCCTCAGCCTGGGGAAGTGTACTCTCTAGGGTGGCACTGGTATCACTGGGCAGTCAGTGGGCCACACTCTCACCCCACCATCCACAGACAGGCCAAGGGAGAGCATGCCAGGTTGGTTGGGAGGAGCACACCATCACTCTGAACCTGAATTGTCAGAGGAGAGGTTCCCTACAGACAGCTACAGACCGAGGATGACCTCAGTCTTGAGGAGCAGGACTGCAGTGCTCCTTTCAGAAAGTGGTTCTGAAGGAATCTGTGGCAATAGTTCTGGGTCTTGGGATTAGTGGCCACAGGTTAAGACCAACTGCAGAGCAGGTCTCCTCCCCAGGCTGGAGTTTCAGGCCCAAAGAGGGTTCTGAAAGGCTCACAAAATCTGTACAGACACCATCATGGTTTTCAAGGTTTATTTTGGACAGCTGGTGGAAAAATGCCCTCTCCTCTCACTTCCCTGTGAAGTACAGCAGGACTCCTATGCACACGGAGAAATGTGAACATCAGCTCCACAGCTGGTTGTGGTAATTTTTTACAGAAGTTTCTTCTATGTTGCCTATAGTTGCATAGGAGTCAGAAAGCTGCTTAGTTTTCATCTGTCAATTTCTTGACTACAGTGGTCTTGATGATTTTCACATTACTGGCCACTCCAAAAAGGAGGGCAGCTATGAAGGCATACATGTGCCCAAAGACCACCCTCAAGTACACCACAGACATATCACTTTGCCTCACTGACCTCATTGTTCTTGGGGGGGTCCACTGTCAACACTCCCTCCAGCACCTTTGTGGGTGCACCGGGGAGAGTCCCAGCCTACATGGCAGTGGCAGTTCCTTTTACTGTTGCAAATTCCCCTGAGGTTGCATTTGGAAGGGTAGCAGTCATAGTTTATGGCAGCCACAGAACCATTGTATACACCGTTGTCACAGAAATGCCCACCACCACAGGGGTTACCAGATCTCACATAACCAACATCAGTTGTGTATGACCCAAGGTGTAAATCCACTCCAAAACAAAAGGACCCCTGTATTACAGACTGATGGAATCCAACATGTTCTTGCAACCTGGGCAGATGTGTGACACTGGTACACTGTAGGCGTCCACATTGAATGTCAACGTCAGCACAATGCACTAAGCTGGAATGACTATTACCTGTACACTGTCCAACTCGGTCTCCCTTTTTATTTATGAGGTAGCAGGCATCTGGGCCATTCCCTGTGCCTTCACCAAAGATCTCCTTGCAGTGCACACTGCGGTCGGTACAATTTCCATGATAGCAGTAGCCATCTTCACTACACGGGATTCCATCTTGCAGATAAATATCTTCAGGGCATGTGAAGGTCTGCCCAAGGCAGTACTCCAGAAGGTCACATGGGTTCTGGATTGGCCTGCAGAGTGTCCCCGGGAATGAGTAGGTGCAGTTTGTACAACACCTGCCTGTGTTACAAGCACTTCCAGGTGTAAAGCTGCAGTCACTTGTGCAGCAGGGGTTGCTGTAACACTGCTTGAAGGAGCCACAGTCACACTGCTCTCCATCATCCACCACAGAGTTTCCACACAGAGCCAATGTCAAGCTTCTATTGAAAGACTGATAGTCACTGTCCAAAGTACAGTGATTCTTATTATACATCATCAGTTCTGCTGCATACACCATAGAACACTTACTGAAGGCATCTGTTATCAGAGGGTACCTGTCCTTGATGCAGGTGGCTCTTCTCTGGCAAATACAAAATTCTGAATTATAAAGCAGGCCAAAACTTCTCCCAATAAATTGCGTGGCTATAATTGATAACAAAAGATAATGTCTCTACATAACACCCAGCATGAGGAGACTTGTTTCTTGGCATAGGTGATCAATCTTTGGAGAAAAATTAAGTTCATGGGGTCCATTACTAAGCATAATCAAGCTTGTATGTGGCTTAAGAGGATAAAAAATGTTGTGTACAAAATGGGTATGAAACGAACTCCCTGGCACGTCATAGTTGTCCATGGACGTTGGATCTCTTAGGTTATAAATGATTAGGGAGCCGATATAGTACCTCATATTAATGCCTTGGAACATAGACTCAATTAAACTACCTAGGCTTACCAGAATTTGGCACATGCTGACACATTGTTGTATTGCCTATAAACTGAATTGGCACTCATTAGACATATTTTGAGTTGTCCAAGGTGGCTTGCATATATCTTACTGCTGATTCTGGATATTCCATTGGCGTTCACTTGAGAGAACAGGGAGTGCCTCTCTTCTTTATACCTCAGTGTATACGTGGGTCCTGTGGCATTGGTGTCTGCCACTATCTGAGAAACTACATGTTCAAACCTTTGGGATTCCTTGAGGGGTTGGATTTCAAAAGCAAGGTCGTCCCACTTCATCATACCTATAAGGCCCCCATAGCAGGTATCCATGGTGACTGTAGAGAAAGGAACCTCCTCCAGGTAGCCGAAGTAGTAACAGTCAAGAGGGACAAAAGGGTAGTCCACCTGCAAGACTCCTTGGTCTTCCTGAGTCATCATCACCAGATGTCGGGGCCAAAACAGTTTCTTGGCACCGCATGTGGATGACATGTCTCTGGCCCCCAAAACTCAGGCTGTAGGAGAGCCACCCTGGTGTCTGAATACCTTTGCCATGGTGCAGCTCCTTCCTTGGAATCACCACCTCGGAGGAGATGTAGCGCCATGAGGGATGCCCTTGAGAATGCTGTGCTGGAGCCAGCACCGCCCAGAGCCCAAGGAGCAAGAGGGGCATCCTCAAGGTGACTGAACCCTCTACCCACTTCATGTCTCCACTCAGGGACAATTGTCAGTGGGAATGGAGGAAGGAAGGATCCTCAGAAAAGCCAGGTTCCAACCATCTGTCAAGGCCACTTGCTACCAAGGAGATAGTGACAGAAAACCTACCCAGGGAGGGTCCACTGAGAGGACTAGGTAACAGTGATAGGGTGTGGCAGAGGGTGGGACTGGACATGAAGTCAGCTGGGGAGTCAGTGTGAGCCCAGACACAAACCTCCCTGAAGGAGACAGGAGGGCTGGGCTCAAGGGGGAGCTTAGGGAACCAGGGTTGCTCAGGAACACCAGGAGATAGAGATCAGTGTCCCTCAGGGGTGTTCAGGAGCACAAGGGACATTGGTGTCACCAGGAAGCTCTCTGGATACCAGGAGGTGCTCAGGAGCAGCAGAGACATCAGTGTCACTAAATGGAGGGGGCCAGCTCAGAAGCTGGTTCCTAGAGTGATTGCAGAAGGGTTTTCCTTTGTGGTCAATGACTTCTACCCCTCTTACTGCCTCCTGAGGCAATTTCTGCTTTCTTCAATGTGTTTTGAATTTCTTACATTCTCCACAGGCAAGAAAGTAGGAAGTAACTGTGGTTGCCTTCTCATCTGGGCCTTATTGTCAACCTATTACCACACAGTCTGCTTTTCCTGGCTGACCAACAACACATGTTAGGAATTCTCACTCCTAACATGAGTCCCCCGCACTCCAGTGCAGAGATGAGGCAGCGATTCTGAGTGTATGTGCTGAGTCACAGTCTGCTCTTCACATAGTGCAGACCGTCTCATGTTAGAATGGTCAGCCGCATGCTTTCTGTCCTTTGAGGATACCTGTCCTCTTTGGGGGCAGTGAGCCACTTGCCTCTCCCTTACATGGCTGGATTTTGATGCTCAGGGATCAATCCCTGATGTCACTGCCATCAGTGTCCTGAATGGAAGAACACTGAGTCTGGGAACAGAACGAGCTCTTCATGTATCCCTAAGACAGAGGCATAAGGTAAACACAGGGATGAAACCCTCTCACAAGGCTGCTAGGAAGCTTTTTGAGCAGGTTTCTGAACATGGTCCTGGAAGATGAGACCTACAAGGGTCTCAGCTTCACATGCAGAACCCATGTGAAACACGAGAGCAGATGAACATGGACCTCATCCCCATCCACCCTCTCTTGTTCATCCAGGATCCCCAGAAACCCACCTCATCATCACCCCCTATACTCTACTTTCCATATGGTCAATAAATCTGCCCTAGGCATGAAGCTCCATGTGGTTGGATTTCTTCTCTCTCCTTTCCAGGCCTGGTACATTTTGTCTTAAAAACAAACCCCCTCATCCCCTCACATTCATCTCCTATGTCAGTCCCTTAATGAGAGCCCAGGGTCAGTCATAGTCAGGTGACCTGAAGCTCGCATGAGCCACCCTCTGAGTCCACATTCAGTGCACACGTTTCTAGGTCACTCAGACTCTACTGTAGGGAAGGCCTGTGTCAGGTGGAGACAGAGATGATTAGTGACCTCAAAGCACCTGCAACAACACATACATGTTCCCAGAGAAATTATAGGTGATCCCATGATCTAAAAACCATCATGTTGGGCAAGCCCATGAACAGCTGTGGTCAGAAAGTAAATATAGGCTGGGTGGCCTGTTACCAGCGCTGGGAGTAATTCCTAACAGATATTCACCTTTGAGAAGTCACACTTTGTGGTCATGTCCTTCATGTCAGTGTCCAACCCCAGAGCTTCCTGTATAGTAGGAGGATATGCAAATAGAACCCCTCAGCTAACAAAAATCACCCCAGCCCCAACCCTGCAGCTGGGGATTTCCAGCTGTTGCCAGTCCCTGCTCAGGAAAGAACACAGACCACTCACCATGGAGTTTGGGATGAGCTTGGTTTTCCTTGTTGCATTTTAAGAGGTAATTTATGAAGAATTAGAGACACTGAGTATGTGAGTGGATATGACTGAGATAAACAGTGGACAGGCGACAGCTTCCTAACTAACATTCTTGTGTTTGCAGGTGTCCAGTGTGATGTGCAGCTGGTGGACTCTGGGGTAGGCTTGGTGCATCCTGGAGAGTCTCTGAGAGCCTTCTCCTTGGTTTCTGAATTCGTCTTTGTTAAATACTATATGAACTGATTTGCTAGGGTGCAGGAAGAGTCTTGAGTGGTTCTCATACATTAATAGTAATGCTAGTACCATATATTATGCCAACAGTGTGAAGGGCCTAGTCACTATACCCAGAGACAAAGTGAAGAACAAGCTCTACCTGCAAACAAACAGCTTGAGAGCTGAGGACAGAGCCATGCATTACTGTGCAAGAGACACTGAAAGGAGAAGTCAGTGTGAGCCCAGACAGAAACCTTTCAGCAGGAAGGGCTGTGATCACCAGGGGGTGAACTATACCCCAGGAGGCAGTGATTAATCTTGCAATTGATTTTTCTCGATTAGAATTATAGATGAAAAACAACTGCAATGTGCCTTCATTTGGGAACCTTTGTGACATTCATTACTTTAACAATAGAGATTTATTTAGCTCATCGGATCACTGTGAACATTGGCTTAGAAGGATGTTCTCTTGATGCAGTTCCCAAATGTGATAATACATGATAACGACAAGATCAGTATAGAGGATATATATACAGGAACCAGAGAAAGGGCTGGAATGGGTTTGCTGAATAAACTTTGATGGAAGTACTATATACTATGTCACCTCTATGAAGAGATGGTTTACCGTCTCCAGGGACACACTGTACCTCCAAATGAACAGCCCAAGAACTGAGAACACAACCGTGTATGGCTGTACAACATACACAGTGAAGGTAAATCAGCATGAACACAGTCACAAATCTCCCTGAAGAGAGGCTGTGAACACCATTAATTGCTCTTGGTCCCTGAACACAAGGACCATTCCAGGGGAATGTGCAGTAGGATGTTTGGGCTGGTTTTCTGTGTGGATTCTTGTAACAGTTTCTTTCCTTCAGGGAACCTCTTGGGATTTCTGATTCTGTGCACACCTTTGAAGTCTCTGATTTGGAAAAGTCTGTTATAAAGAAAGACATAAATCTCTTGTGTCTCTTTCGGAAACTCTTGTTCCCAATTCCAGTCAATCATCAAACCTTCTGACCCACGTTAGCTGAATCTAACCAGAAGTTCTGCTGAACCCAACAGTGAAGACTAGTCTTACATAGCTCAGCGTCCAAACCTGCAAGAAGCAGGACACGTGCATGCTGGACAGCAGGCACAGAAGACATATGACCCCAACACAAGAGGAGAAAGATGTCCAGTACTAATGGTCATTGACCTGGCATCATGGTCACAGCACCAACAGCAGATGACATCACACAGAGGCAGAGTGACCCACTGCAGCATGGTATGGATGTTCATGCTGAGAACAAGCAGGCACACCAAGGGGACATGTAGCATTTATCCCTTACATAGTTGAAATCTCTGGGAGGGATAGGAAAGACAAGTCCTATCCCTTCAGCAAGTCATATGGGCCTTGACAGAGCCAGGAAAGGAGATGCACTCAGGGCTTGTGCATTTTTCGGAGGTGGTGGTGGAGGGGAAATTCATCCTACAGGGGCCTGTGTGGTTTCAATCTCCCAATGACATCTAAAGTAGAGACTCAGCATCTCTTATCAGATTTCCTGTGTGGGGCAGATAGAGAAGATAATGGAAGAGTTTTCATTTGTAAGCAATGAAATGTAAAATAAAATAGAGTCTGTCTACAAATTCCACATAACAACTATAAAAAGTAAGCAAGAAAAAAATAAGTGGTCACTGTGTGGGGACATCTACCACTCCTATAGAAAATGGGAAGAACAATTATAAGTAATTAAATCGTGATGATGGTGGTGGTGATGGCAGTGGAGGTGGTGATGATGACAGAATTGGATAGGGGTCTTTTCCCAACATATTAGATGGAAACTGTTCCCTATCCAGGGTGATCCACTCTCTGGAAGGCCTTAGGTCAACTTACAGGTGGAGTCTTTGTGATCTCCCAGTGTCATATAAAGTGGAGGCACATGATTTCTTTTTGCATAGTCATATTGTGTGGACAACCACCATGCATACAGAAAATAATAAGAATGATTACAAGTAAGCAGATGATAATGATGACAATAATGACAGTGATAATGATGGTGATTGCGGTGATGATTAGGATGATTATTTTGATGATGGTGATGAAGGCTATGATGATGATGTTGAACTGAAATAGGGCTCTTTGTGCCATGAAATTATTGCTCCTCATACTGACACATTATGTTCAGGGCTCCACCAGTCAGGGGTGTCCTCCCTTCCCTGTAAATGCTGAGAAATTTAATAAATGGAGCCCAGTGGACTATTCTACTTGAGTGATTCATGGTGTGAAGTCAAAAGTAAGAACTCAAAGATGTCCTGTTCCACTCCTATCCAGGGCCTGTGGCATTGTTAGTCAATATAACAGAGACACTGTGAAAATGTGAATGGGGGTAATGAGGAATTTTCCATGAACATGTTTCTTGTTTGTGTTGATTTCTACCTGCAGAATCTTAAGTAGTTCTATTTTTGACAAACTCCTCTTTATAATTATTTAGGTATTCTCTAAAATGTTTTAATCTGTCTCTATCATGTCTTATACTTACTTCTGAATCCATAATTAAAAAGTATTTAAACCCATAGGTTTAGTAATACTCTGTTCATAAAAATAAGCATATTTCTGGATGTGACTCAAACTAATTCCAACATCCTCCCTTTACCCAGTTCCAAAGTCACCTCCAGGTTTGTGGGTAAAATTTTCAGCTTCTCTCCATTCCTGGTACCAGACCATGTCCCAGTCCCTGTGGCTGCTATAAGCAATGAATATGAACAATGGAAGCTGACAATTTTTCTAGGGAGTATTTTGCAAAATCATCCAGTAAAAGACCCATTAAATAAAATAATAATGAATTTACATTTATCGAAATTAAAAAATATATATATTTGCCTGACCAACACACCTAAAATCTATCAATGGCATTAAAAGACATGCCTAGACAAAAATAATGTATTTGCAACATATATGTCTGATGAAAAAAAGTGTTCGTTACTCATTAAAAATGTTATATGCTATGTGGGAGAGACCACAACCTTCTGACCCTAATGACCTTCCCTAGAAACAGCAATGGGGGAGGCTGGGAGTGAGGGGTTTCTGTCAGGGTTGAAGTTACCTTTACTGTAATCA